TCAAAACTACCGTTTATCGTACCTAAATACCGATTCGAAGCAAAAAAATAGCAAGAAATTGGCCTTATAAACAGTATAAAAACGTTATTTTATGCATCTGATCAACAAATACCTAAAATAACATTTCCATGCCGTTTATAAGGCCGACTTCTTAGTATTTTCTGCTCCAAAATGGCATTTAGATGTGATAAACGGTAGTTTTGGACAATAAATAACAGTTTAAACGTGGAGAGAAGTAAGCGAGGAGGGAAGAGGTAACAGGCAGTTGCCCACTCTTCACTAAGGAGAAGCTTGTACGAATACGATGGCAAACGACGTCATATACGATCGTATATGGCTGTCGTAATGTTCGTCCTGGCTATTCAAATTAATTATAATATATTGTAGTTTATATTGAAGCATAGATCTAGGCCGTTTATTTAATACAACGAAACCTATAATAGATGAAATTGTTTTTGTCAATCGGCGACAATAGCGAAATTTGGGAAAAAGTTAATATTTGAATAAAAAAAAAGAAATAAACGAATATTATAACAATAAATTAATAATTGAAAGGACGTTGAAAAAAGTGTCGAAATTATATGTATTTCATGACGACGTATAGATCTATCTTACATTAAAACGTCATATTTAGTTCATCTGATCTGTACAAGCTTCGTAATCGTAAGTATATATATTCGAATCTTCTGTTGTGCAAAAATATTCAATAGGCATCGAGTGCTCGGAATGTCAACCACTCGAACCCTTGCTGATTTATCCCATCAGAATTCATCGCAACTCGTCGGAGATTGGTGCATCGAGGGTGTCGAACTTTCAGATTAGTCTCTTGGAATGCCACTTCCGATAGATCGACGGGTCGAGGATAGGCGAACAATTTTGAGTTCTATCGACACATCAAAATATTCATCGAGTGGCAGCTTGGAAGTCTATCGTTCTACCCAAATCTCTCGATGGAAATGATATTTCTAAAATTCTTCAATAGACAGAACAAAAATAGCTCATCCATTATGCACTATTGGTTACGCATACGAATATAAGAATCCACTTCTTTTCACTTAATTAGGAAGAAGAATCATATACTTTTATACTTCTTATTCAAAGATTTCTTTTTTTTATTTCATTCATCATAATAAAGCAAGCAAAAAAGGAAAGTCATATCGCCCTAGGTAATCTTTCTAATGTTCTATCTTTATTTAAGTCTTTTTCTAATATTAAAACTTCTTTCGCCGCTTGTAATGGACCAATAACAGCACGGATGACATGCATTCTGATTTATTTCAACAGTTTGTCTTTCGTAAACCTAATAAGTATCTTTAGTAGCATGCATCTGTACACTTTTTTCTCTGTTTCTGACAAAGTCTTTCAGTCTATCATGAGTCTGACGTGTTCCCATAAGTATGAATGTAGAAAAGGAGAGACAATGTATAGATTTTAATTTCATAGATACTGAACAAAGCAAAATTTAGAGAAAGTATTATTTCAATGTTTTCAATGTTAAATTTTAAAATTTCTAGTATCAGTTTTGAACGTTAAAACACCAAATTTAATCTTTATTATGCTAGATTAATCCTTGCATTTGTATTGTATTCCTTGTTTTTTAAAACTCATCGATGTGCTGGTGATAAATATTGTCACTTCCATAAGCAAGCAAGTTACACATTCTCTATAAAATGAATAGACAAAACTAACGAAATAGATATTTGAAGGATACGCTGCTAATGATATAATATAAAGAAATCAAGATGTATCATCATACAATTGCTCACATTTGAGATTGTTCTGACGTGAGAGATGTAAAAAGACCAGTTTGTGAACCAATGTTAAATTAACTATTTTTGCTATTTCAGAATTCATACGACAACAATTTTTAAAAAACTTCAAGATGAACACTTCATCGAATGATCTAGGCAATGTAAGTACAACTTCAACAATATCAATATTTGAACGAAATTGCAAGTTCTATTTACTTCTCATTATGCATATCCCATCACTATGTTGCACAATCTTTATGTAAGTTTTCTTTTCAAATCAAAGTTCACTAAACATTATTTATAGTTTATATCATTTCAAATGGAATCATTTAGTTAGCCAAATTTTTGGTATTTTTCTGATTGTCAATGCTTTACTTATTCTTGTCGAATTACCATTTACACTTATGTATTTGCATCATGGTGTTGTACACAATGAAAATATCTGTTCAAGTTGGATCTTAGTTAATTATTCGTTATTCATCTTGAGTATAATCCTAACTGCATGGACATCAATTGAACTCTATCTATTTATTTATCATGAACATCTCATTACACATTATCGAATGGTCTTACATTATATTCCCATCGGATGTTTTACGTTATATACATCTTCATTTTATGTTGGTCTAGTAATATTTTATCCTTGTCAACAAGCTTATAATGTTTATAGTTATATTTGTGGTGGCCCATGTTATCTTTTCGAGAGCATTCCATGTCTCATTGATTGGGGTATTAATGTAGTCTTGGTATTTTTTATTACATGTATTATAAACGTGATATTGATTGTTAATAACATAAAGCAAAGACATAGGATGAAAACATCTATTGTCACAGCACGTAAAAGTCAACAATGGGTAAATTGAATCAAGTTCATTATTATTGTTTTTGTAATAAATTATCTTTCATTTAGCGTCGTACAATGAAACTAAGCTTTCAACTATTTTCAATTTCTACACTTTGTGCGATTGTATGGATTCCATATGGTATTGTTTCTACAATGCGAGTTTTTAAGAATACAGAATTGTCGAGTTATCTTCTCTCAACACATATGATCTATTTTCCATACATACAAACAATGTTTTTACCTTACATGTGCCTCTTCTTCATACCTAAGATCAAAAAGAAATTATTTAATGCATTAGCTTCATCGTGTTGCTTTAACAAACCACTTCTCAATATTGAATTACATATTCTAACATCGAACAAATAAAAGTATTATTCATTTTTTCTGTTTGTCCTAACAAGTTCTTCATAATATTTTTGAGGGTGTGGGTGTGAGTATGGGTGTGGGTATAGGTATGGATGTTCTCTTCTACCTCTTTAACACCCACATCCACATCCACACCCTAATTGTGACATATATTGTTGGATGAATCTCATGATTTCATCATAGGAACTATTCCAACTAATTTCGAATAATCATTTATTTTGTCTCTAAAATGTATAATAGTATCTTATTTGTTAATGGCTTCGATAATTTCTGCAGAACTTTCTCCTGCTCGTTTCATACCATGAGCTTGATCCTTTTCTTCTTCGGTATCACATTTAATAGCGTCAAATACGACCGAATTTTTGATATCACTAACATGAAATGGAACATTTTTTTCACCTTCCACACACATTGTTAATGATTCATAGCATTCCTGATGCATCTCTTCACATGTGTTGACTTCGCAAAAAGCAGATAAGTTCCAAACGTTTATAGTAGTAACTGCCAGAGTAATAGCCAAGTTCATCAATGCTATATAGGAGATGAATGTGATATGCGATCTTTGTTAACGAGCTTTTATTGATATCAGGATTAGTGATAGATGCCATGGTGAATGCGAGAAAAATTAAAGAAAGAAAAGCAGAGATATTCATTCTCGTGATACAATGACAACTAATTAGCATAACATCACGATTAAACCAATCAGAAAATAGCACTAAGAATTTTTATTTATTTTATATTAAGTAAAAAATGTTCGTAGATTATCTTAACAGAACTTTTTCAATGACTTATGAATGAAAATTTGAACATATTCGAAAGACTATTGAATTACAAAATATGTATAGAGACCGTGTGCTTGTGGGTGTGGTATGGGTGCGAATTCGTCTCTTCTCTATACCCACAGCCACAGCCACAGCCACACGCACACGCACACGCACACGCACACCCAACCACCCACACCCACACTCACACCCACCCACACCCACACCCTCACACCCTAATAACCCCAGCTTCGTTTCTGGCTACGTAAATCAGGCTGTCTCTCTTGACGCATCACTAAATAACTACTTGTCAACTTCATTCATTCCGTTAACCTATCGAAGTTTTACTGTCGACGCTTGGAT